CATATACAATTTAAAATTGTTGAGCTGATAGGTTAGGTTAAACAAACCTTGCAAATTTGAATCAAAAAATATTCTATTCGTATAAGTTTCCCATCGATGTACTCAGTCAATAGTAAATAGTAATACAGGTTTCGAAGTATTAATACTGTGAAATTTAATATAATTTAACGTTTGAATGCTGTTGAAAGTCTCCATATGATAAAATGTATTAAGATGGGCGATTGTAACTTCTTTAATTAGCATTAAATTTGAATTTGAAACAATTTGTAGTACTATCAATACTTTGTCAAATCTTAATATTGACTGAATGACAACGAGAAAATATTTTAACTTAGAATTATTGAATTTTTCAACAGTTATCCTATGATTTTACAAATCCCACTAATTTTTTTCACTCATACGTCATATGTTTTTAGACATTAGGAGAACGTCGCACCGGCATATTATGTAGTCTCTATCCTACACACGTTTGACATAACAAATTTTCGCTCACCAGTTTCAATAATGTGGCCAGTGTTGTTAGTTTTGGTATTAGAGTAAATTGACCTATTATCAAACTTTTAGGTAAGAACAATATCTGTGTCTTCTCGTTGGTTTTTTATGATATTGTTGAATACACAGATATACAGAAGTTAAAGGTAAATAATAATAAAATCGGATATATATATAATATAATAATAAGTATAATGATACGATGTACAATAGTGTTACGAGGCGTAATATAAATCAACGACTAACTATGTAATATGTATACCCTGCTACACTACACAAGACACTTATGCTGTAGTATTATAAAAATGTATAGTCAGCGTCTGCTGAACTACAGTGTGAATATATTACTTATACACTACATTATATAGGGTGTTTTGTTTATAATTCCAACAGATATTTTAATTTTTAAGTGAGTTCTGAGATTTTAAAAATATTATTATTTTACATACTCATAAGTCATAACTCACTTAAAAATTAAAATATCCTAAAAATCAACTAGAGAACACAGATAATGATCTTAACTAAAAGTTTGATGATGGGTCAATAATTCACTATAATAGTATCAAACTGTTGAAAATGGTGAACGAAAATTTGATATGTCGTACGTGTATAGTATAATAAGTTGGAGACAAAATATATGCGAATATATGCGAATATGCGAAGTATTCTTAAATAAATTATTTTTATTACTTAATTTGACTTGAAATATACACGTTTACCTCAAATTTTTTTTAAGTACTAAGAAAAATGCGAACAAATTAACACAGCATTTATGATTTCTATGATATATTAAAAAACTAATTAATACCAATATATATCTTTAACCTATGACTTCAATCAATCATCATCCCGAGACTGTGCTACTCACGACGACTATACGATGTGCCATTTCGGAGCAGAACACTGCTGCAATCAACATACATGACGACGTTGACGGCGCCCACAGCGAAACTACATACTAGAGTACAGTTTTTCTCAATCTGAAATTAATTTTTCTCCACGAAGTTAACTTAACTTTTGCGTTTGTACTTTGTTTTGACCCCAGGTATGAGTTCAATTTGTTATATTCACTCTACTATCCTACCATAACAATCCTGTTATTTCAATTCTTTACAAACCCAATGATCCTTCTATAATGTTAAGCCATGTAGGGAAGACATCCATGTACCCATATCCAAATTCCATATTTTCAAAACCCTAATCCTGCAAATTACAAAAACCACTTAAATATGTATTTCAACCTAAAAGAATCTACATTAACTCCATTTCAATTACTGCTTGTCAATTCATTGTCTCTCCTAGACAGTGGGTTGCCAAAATATAGAGAAAGGGACCGGGCAGACTTATGCGATGCGCCGAAAGTACCTTTCTCTTAAGCGACTAGACCTCAAATATATAAGTAATTGAAATGTGTGTTGTACAAACATTAAATAAAAACAAACAATAAACTCCACTTCAAATACTGCTTATCAATTCATTGTCTCTCTTAGACGTTGGGTTGCCAAAATATTTTTGCTCTTTTACTTTTTAGCTCTTGAGCAAGGGAATGGGCAGACTTATGCGATGCGCCGAAAGTACATTTCTCTTAAGCGACTAAACCTCGAATATATAAGTAACTAAAATGTGTGGTTTATAAATATCAATAAAACAAATAACAAAAATCCTCCTCAAGTTCTATTTGAAGTAGAAGGATAAATACTATAATAAAACATAATATGCATAAGTCCATGTTATTAGCAAACAAATAATTACAAAATTATAAAGACACACATATGTCAGGAAAATACAGTTTCCAAATAACACATATATACAAATACTAATCAATATTATAATTCAAAACACTCCTAATCTTTACATGCTGTAAAATCCTTTCTGTCTTTATGATTTATCGCAAATACTAAAAGTCGACGGTGCATAAGCAAAATTAGCTTATAACTGGTATAAGATATTGTAATTGTAACGTGCTGGTAACTGGGTGCCTACTATTGTAGTTATAATAATAGACAAGTGGCTACCAGTACGTAAACGTTGCAGGTCGCAGACCCTTCTTCTGATGATAGAGTCGTGGTAGATGAATAAATGATATAACCTGTTGTTGTATAATTGTGAATTTTATTATTACACTTCAATAATTTCTCTAAGTCCAAATATTGTCATGCAGAGTGGCGTGAAGGTGCTTGCACTAATGTGTGGTAGTACACGTCTGAATACAGGCCTATTCGGGCTCCCTTATATATGAAGTTCCCCGTGCCCCTCGCCACAGATACGGTATCTTGGTTCTCACGGATGTGATTTGTGTGGTCATTATTCCAGCCCACGCATTTACGATTGAATGTATTACTAAACTATGATATCAACTTCATAGTTGTAACCCTTTGTTTTGAAGGCCATTTACACAAATTACCTGAAGTACCATTCAATGAAACAGTTGATATTTAGTCAACAGGAATCGCTGAATACTTACCTATGCTCTTCTTTAAAATAGCCAATAATCCACTAAAAGTACAATACCTAATTAAAATAGACATCGGCGAAAAATTCTATTAGTGGATCATACTGGAATATATTTGTCAGATCAAATTATAATATGGGTTCTGTACATACACCAATAAACATTAAGTTGTAAATATAATATACTCTTGGATCCTTATAGAATAATATAACATACAAACTTATATTCCCCTCTGATTATTATTTATTACTATCGGCTATCACAATAGGTAGGTGTGTTTATATTTTTATGCTTAAATTATAATTTCGTGTTTTTTTAAATTTTCTATATACCTACATTATTTCTAGCAACATATTGTATATGTATATATGTGTGTGTGTAATTATGAGTGCATAAGCAGTAAGCACAACATTTTGTGCTGTTGGTAACATAATATTATACAACTTAATATTTTATCCTACAAAATTATACTACTATTAGGTATAGATAATATTTATTAAATTAATTAATTATTCACATACCTGTTGTTTCGAACCTTCCCTTTTGACAAAATTGAATGACCAGTACAAATATGAATACAAAACAAATACTATTGCCTATATTGTAGGTAATAGTTATGTTGTTTTAACACAATATTATACAACTATACAGCACACTACAGTGGATATTACACGTGTCACGTCAACAGATAAATTATAGCTTATAGTATAAAACTTTCCACAAAATAACAAGGTATCAATTATCTTGTACGCACTTGAATACTTGATACTACCTACTTTAAATACAAATTACAGCAGGTACACTGTACAGTCGCTGGTCGTTTGCAAAAACAAATGTCGTCGATACTGGATACATAATCGATATTATAATCGTGATTCATTATACGTCATAATATTATAATCATTAATATTATTGCCATTATTACATCGGTCATTGGGTATTTTGCTTAATTTTATTTTTAAATCATTTACAATAATTTTACGTGAGATCCGTGTGACCACCATGCGATATTGTGGATTGCAATGTTTATTTATAAATAATTTTAAAATCGGAAACTAATATCTCTGAAACATCACAATCACAACATTAGTTGTTATACGTTCGAGGAGTTGTTGATTTTGTTATGTTATTTTTATAATTTTACAATCCTCTGATTGATTTATCAGAGATGAACACCGTAGACGTTAGCTTTAAGATCATACACCGACGTCTATGAGATATCATTGAGATATTATCTATCTTCAATTAGTTTATTTGTTAGGTTAATGTACATATAATTTATAATAAATGTTGTTAAAATTAAAAGTTTCTACGGTTATTCATTTTTGAGTAAGACAGAAACATGATTTTGTCGATAACTGGTTTTGTGTAGAAATTACCTTTTTTCTTGATTTTTTTTTTCAATTTTATGGCGCTTTTAAACTACTGGGAATTTTTCAATTATAAGTTTTGAGCCAACAAAGTACCAACTAGATTCACTATAATATTAGAAAAAATGCTGGAGTGTAAAATAACACAATTTTTGCTGTCTTAATAGGTGATGGAAGACACAAAATAAAAATAAAATATAAAAGCACAAATTGTAAAACCAATACATTGGGTCGTGGTGTGTGTAACATAATATGGTGTGTGTTAAATTGTGTAAGTTGAAAGCGATCGGCGTACACTTTAAGGCTTAAATATCCGTGTTAGATATTCACGACAACAACTTGCTAACATGTAGCATGTGTCTAACAACTGTTATTCAGTGCCGGATCTAAGACATTTAACGCCCGGGGCTAATAAAAATGTAGCGCCCTTACATAGTATTAGCTACAGAGGTCAGGGTTCGAGGGTTGTCAACATAATTAAAAAATTTTTTAAACAGGTACAACTCAAAAGTATATTTTTATATAACAAATATTTTTTATTTAAATCGTTGTCTTAACATATATTATAATATTATAGATCATAGTCAATATTATAGTTAAAAACCATTAAAAAATATAAAAACAAAAACCTAAATAAAAAATCTCTTGATTATTTTAATTAAGTAAAAAAATTTTAATCTGAAAATTTAAAAATTAACTTTTCTAGCTTTTTTTGCAGCGAAATCATTAATTATGTCTTCATAATTGATTTGTCTTGAAATTTTATTTTCTATGGATAAAATAGATAAGTTATTAAGTCTTGCTTGCTCCGTAGTAGATCTTAAATATGTTTTTATTAATTTCAATTTGCTAAAGCTTCGTTCACACGAAGCTGAAGTAACTGGCATTGTAAGATATATTTGGTAAGCAACGGATATATTTGGATATGCATCTTGAAGTTTATTTTTATAAATAAAATTCAACATTTCAAAAAATGTTGCTCTTTTTAAATCGTCATCTATGTTATAAACATGCTCTTTAAAGCTCTCTAGTTCTGAAATGAATTCAATTTTGTTGAGGTCGTTTTCATATTTATTGCATAAATCGACTCCCGCTCTTTTCAAGTTTTCCATAGGACAAGAATAAATTATTGTTGGATCTAAAAATGAAAAATCTTGAGCAATATTTTCCATTGATTTAAATCTTTGACGTAGTCCTATTAAGATATTGTCAATAACATTTTTAATCATTATTAAAAATGTATTTTCTTCACTTATGTTACAAAACTCATCTTCTGCAATATCTCCGGGTAAAAGTTTCTTTTTTCGTAATCTGACTTTTGGAAATTCCGTTTCTATGCCTAATACTTCAGCTTTATTCTTTGAATCCAATAAAGCCTCATTTATACCTTGCTCTCGAAAGTTTTCTAATATTTTAAGGAGACTTTGCAGATGTTTGACAGCTACATCAATTGTTAATTTTGGTTTTTGTAAAATTATATTAATCCTGTCAATTGCACTGAGAATTTTTTCCCAAACCGTAAGCATACAAATAAAAGAAAAACTTTTAAGTGATCTCATCAAATTATCTGCATCAAATTTTGTTTCTTCTGATAATTTTTCTTGTTGTAGAACGTCAAAGCTTTTAAAAAACCATATCCAGCTGAGTATTTAATGATTTTATTGCACGATGTTTAGCTGACCACCTTGTTGTACTATACCCTTTTAATGACAACTTTAAATTATTCATTAGAATATCCCATCTTTGCGTTGAACTTGAAAAGAAATTAAATAATTTCTGTACGATGCCGAAAAATGTTTCTACTTTAGGTATACTTTTTGCACAATTAACACCAATTAAATTTAAGGAGTGAGCTGAGCATGGGATGAATCTTGCAAGTTTATTCATTTCAATAATTCGTGCTTGGACTCCTTTAATTTTTCCACTCATATTTGACCCGTTATCAAACGATTGTCCTCTACAGTCAGATATTCTAAGATTATCTTTTGTCAAACAATCTAATATATCTTCTGTTAATGATTCACCAGTTTTGTTGTACACACGCACAAACTTTAAAAAACTTTCTATGATTTCGCATTCATTCTGGTTGTTTTGTATAACATAGCGAATAACTTGGGTCATTTGTTCTTGGTGTGCAATGTCCGGTGTACAATCGAATAGTATAGAATAATATTTCGCCTCTATTATTTTTGAAAGAATTTCATCTTTAACTCTTTTTGCCATAATCTCTAGAAACTCGTCTTGAATACCATGAGAAAAATAAGAAAGACCACCTTTTTTGTGTCTTTCAATATGTTTTGATAATGGTTCATGATAATGTGACACTAGATTAACTAAATTTAAAAACTTTCCACTTCGGTTTGATGTTCCCACACTAGAAATAATTTAATTAGATCCTCGAAATGCACTTCCGTCCATTGCTAGATGCATTATAATGTCTATAATTGCCAATAAAACGGATTTCCAGTGACCTTCTTCTTTTCTTATAGAATTTTGCAATTCTGTATCTATACCCTCGCAGTGATTCAATGCCATTTCCAATGAAGTCCAAGAACACACATTTTTTTTATGTATTGGTGAATTTTCATGTAATGGAATTTTTTCGGTAACTTTTTTCCAATTTGTTAAGCCAGTGTATGCTAATTTTGATACGTTGGATGAGTTTTCTATTTTAGTAAACAATTTACAAGGTACACAAAAAAGTGCATTTTTATATGAAGAATAGCTGAGCCATGTTCTTTTTAATTTTTTTCCATTCATAAGTATCTTATAAAACCAGTCAGACTTAACATTTCTACCGTCTCTTTCCGAATTACTAAAATCATGAATTTCGGAATAATTGTACCTCATTTTCACTAAATATAAATTCTTTGTGTATCTGTAATATTTAAAGGCCATGTACCAAGATCAGTAAAATGTATGTTTATGGTGTCTACTTTATCGCAATTAGTTCTGTTCCTGTCTATAGCTGAATAATAGTCCTCATCACTAGTCGATACCGTTTTTGTTTCAAATAATTTGAAGGAATTTGAAGAAACCACTTCTATAAATTAAAGGTAAATTAAAAAAGGTATTTCTGTGATGGCCTTTGATTAATTTATACGATTTAAGCTTATTTTAGCTGTTATAACTTAACAATTCATTTTATAACTAAAATTAGTAAAATCAAAAATACCTACTTAAATCTAAAACGTGAATGATTTATAAGAAATTTAAAAATAAAACAAATAATTATTTAATATTCTATACTAAACAATACAAATTTATTTATTTATTGTTGCAATAAAATAAAAATTCAATTTTATTAAGTTGTTTTAAATATCTCAACCTTAATTAAATTCATTATATTTAACTATAGGTAAATATATAATTTATTTTAACAGGTTTAAAAATTGCTTACCGTTGGTTTCTGTTTCTGTAATATTCTTATCCATATCTGAATCATGGTCCACATCATTAGTTGATACCGTTTTTGTTTCAATTAATTTATTATGTACAATCTCTGTAGAAACAACGTTATGTTTATTTTTATTTTATTTAGATGTTTAAAACATGTTTTAAATAACCTTGATTAAACTCATTACATTTAAGTATTTAGCTATAAATATATAATTTATTTTGACAGCTGTAAAATTTGCTTACCGTTGGTTTCTGTTTTTGAAAAGAAATTGATGATCTTAGGTAGTTTTTGTACATTTTTTTCAAGTTTCAGTTTTCTTTTTCTATTTTCAGCCCCTCTAAGCTTTTTTTTTTAATTCATTATCTTTTTGTTGGTTAAGATATGTTAAAATAAAAAAAAACTGTAGAGTTGAAATGAATCTGACAACAACTTTACTGTCGACTATTCGAACATTGTAAATACCTATTATAAAACCTATGCATTTATCGTCGATCGCCAGTTTGGGTTTTCTCCGAAACTGACTGATAATGACTAGGTAACTATAAATATAAAATATGTCAACACCGCGCCGGAGTGCCGGACCAAAATATAAACAAAAGATAAACGTATTCGAATATCTAAAGCCGCGTATACATGTGCGAGCCGAACCTACCGCGAACCGCTCGCGAAGTGTTCGTGGAAAAAACCGACTATCGATGGATCAGCGCGAACGGTTTGCGAGCTATTGGTTCGCGGTAGGTTCGGCTCGCACATGTATACGCGGCTTAATATTATTTATTCTGTTTAAATATATAGTATTATAATTTATACATATTTTATGAGATATTTTTAGCTTATTTTTTTATTTTTCATAATCTTAAGAGCGCCCTGATACCAACAGCGCACGGGGCAAGAGTACCCACTTGCCCCCCCCCCCCTAGATCCGGCACTGAGTCTACTCATTCCTTCATGGTAACAACAGACACCCCTTAACCATTGATAAATCAATGTACCATTGATAGATAAGACTTCTGGTATTTTTTCTAACACAACCATGATCTGAGGTGCAACTTCACAGCTTCTTAACGTAGAGTCGATATCGTCATCTAAAAGTAAAAGTAATAAACAAAATTGTTGTTATTTATGGATTTAAATTTACTTAACTAAACGTTTTCGAAAAATAAAATAACAATCTTCAATATGATACAAAATATTTTTTTATTAATCAATAATAATTATTCTAAAGAATATTTTGATTTACTTACCATTCCAATATAATAGTTCTATAAATATTAAATATATGTAATTTAGAAACATCAGTTCTAATCGTTTTATAACCGGCACATGGACTATTCAGATCATCAACATGACCAAATAAAGAAGTTTCATTATTTATTCGAAGCTTAACCATATTTTATAATTCAACAAGATTATCATTTTTGACATTGACCGTTATGTAAGGAATCGGTATAGTCGTCACTATTGTCTTTTTACACTTGGGATTAGTACATAATAATATGATAAAGTCCTTCAAGGTAGGTAGATCTTTTAGAAAAATATTTATTACATTACCCATTGTAGTATCGCATTTTGCCATTGAGATGTCATTACCTATTATTTCAATAGGTGGGTTGAGGTAATCAATCTGTAAAAATAAAAAAATACATTCAATCTATTATAAAACCTAAAACCCTAATGTATGAACTCGGAGATTAAATGATAATAGGTATTGATTCAAAATATTATAATAAATAGGGCTCGGATTTTAAAGCAAATGATTCTTCTATATATATAAAAATGGAGACAAAAAATTCGAAATTGCATCAGTTGAGAACGGCTGGGCCGATTTTGCTCAAATTTTTTTTAAGATGTTCGTAATTGCCAGGTGAAGGTTTTTACGAAAGAAAATTTTTAAAAAGTCAACCGAATAATTAGAAAAACTGCAAAAACTATTTATTGATGTCTGGGATTTGAACTCGATACCGTTGTCTTTATTTACTCTATTGTGTATTATATTATATTGGTTGCTATTGGTTAATCGGGGATGTTTGTTTATTTGTATTATTATTTTTTGTAAATATATCTTATATATAAACTAGCTGAATAACCCGGCTTCGCCCGTGTACAGTTTTTTTGTGTAACCTACTATAACTTTTATTTTATCAGTTTTTATATTTATTACAGGCTGCTTTTAGATAAGTTTATCCTAGGTTGCCCATGTATTGTTACAATCAGAAGTCAGCAAAAAATTACTTTATTTTAATATTATATTTTGTAAGATACAATTCTAATCGACGAAATGTTGAAATAAAATATACCCAAAAACATTATGGTTTTATAAAAATCCACCAATATTTATATTGACATATTTTGTTCATCTCAATACCTCTTTATAAACAGTATTTTTGGTACTGCCTTTTGGTGCTAAAATAACCAAACTACTGGCAGAGCTAACTCTAGAACATGCGACATAGAACTGTCCATGTGAAAAACATTCTTCTCTTAAGTCAATCCCTGCCATGCCCAATGATTGTCCTTGAGACTTATTAATAGTCATAGCAAAGCAAACTTTGAGTGGGAATTGTATTCTTTTAAACTCAAAGGGATAATCAGTTGGGATTAACGTTATTCTCGGGATTAAAACTATATCTCCTCTAGCACACCCAGTGATAACTATAGCTTCTATTACATTTTTGGGCAGAGATTTAACTTGCAATCTAGTTCCATTACACAATTTAGGTGGGTTAAGATTTCTTAGTAACATTATAGGTGCTCCAATTTTAAGGATAAGTTTATGTGATGGAAGACCAGAAGGATTCAGAGTATTAAGAAATTCTAAAGGGTAATGGACAGCATCATCCGATTGGATCACCGAATCAAAAGATTTATATTCAACAGATTTTTCATTAAATGCCTTTAGTAGAATTTCATTGATTTCGGCTGCCTTGTCGTTCTTTGGAGTTAAGATGGCTCGCTCGCACAACCATTCGATGGGTTTCATCTTGATATTTATTATATCTGGGTAAATTCTGGAAGTTAGTTCTGATAAAGAGCTAACAACTGTACACAAATTTGAGGGAATAGTGATCTCACCTTCCAATGAAGGGAAATTTCCGTCTCCTATTTTAGTTTTGACTGTATGTTGAAATACACTTCAATGAAGCTGGAATTGTTGACAGATTATGATATGTTGTTAATGTTTGAAAAAGGTAAAGTTATATTATGAGAAATAATACTTGATTTTATTATAGGAATTCGTGGCGGTTTAACTCAAGCGAGCATGAGATATGCAAAGGCTAATAATGAAAAGACACCAGATTATGATCCAGCACAACCGAAATCATGGCTTGTTTATCAGGATTGTAAGATCAATTTAATATTTAATTTTCATTAATATAATATATTATTTAACTTGCAGGTAACAACTTGTACGGTTACGCAATGTCACATTACATGCCATACGGAGGTTTTAAGTGGGTTGAACCCAAACCAGATGGGTTGAATGATTTGAACGACACATCACCAATAGGACGGATATATGAGGTTGATATATCATATCCGAAAGAACTTCATGACAAACACAATGACTTACCATTCCTACCAAAAAATGATATCCCACCTGGTTCAAAAGTTAAGAAACTTATGGCGACACTCCATTCAAAAAAAAAATATGTAATCCATTATCGCAACCTGCAGCAGGCCATTAAAAACGGACTAGTAGTGGAAAAAGTAGCATATTTATTTTATTTATTTTATTTATTACATATTCTGTTTTATTGCAGGTTCACAGAGTTGTACAGTTTAATCAGTCAGACTGGCTTAAAAAATACATAGAATTAAACACCGAGATGCGGAAAAAAGCAAGGAACGACTTCGAAAAGGACTTTTTTAAACTTTTAAACAACGCTGTCTTTGGTATATTTATCCCCTTATTATGTTTTTAATTATTTTACTGACATTTAATACAACTTTAAAGGGAAAACTATGGAAAATTTAAGACGGAGAATTAAAATGGAGCTTGTTTGTAGTGAAAAACGTTTGCAAAAACTTATAAATAAGTGTACGTTTAAACACTGTACTACATACGATGAAACTATCAATGCCATTTCGTTGGAAAATAAAATCATTGATTTTTGCAAGCCAATATAATATATAGGTGAATATAATATACTTCTTATAGTAGCTGAATTTTAATATATTTTTTTCAACAGGTTTTGCAGTGTTGGAAATTTCTAAGACCGTCATGTATGATTATCACTACAACGTTATGCAAGCCCATTATGGAGATAAAATTGAGCTCATGTATACCGATACAGGTAAATGTTTTCAAACTATACTAATTTTCATATATTAAATTATATTGTTTTCTAGACTCGTTGGTATACTATGTCCAGACCGAAGATTTTTATAAAGACCTTAAGAATAATTCCAATTTACTTGATCGAATGGATACATCAGACTTGCCATCAGATCACCCTTGCTACATTGCCGAACGAAAGAAGATACCAGGACTCTTTTCCGATGAAACCAACTCAGAGGACACATTTTTGTGCTCTCCGTGCAAAGTCTTATTCATATAAGATCAATGGGAAAGAGAAGATCAGGGCAAAAGGAATCCGTGGCCATGTAGTGAAAAACCACATGAACTTTAACGATCATTACCGTTGTCTGTTTGGAGATGCAACCTTGAAAACTGAGAGAGAGAATGTCTCTATCCGTTCATTCAAACATCATTTGAAGACCATCAAGTCAAACAAAGTAACTTATAATAGTTTCGATGACAAGAGGGTTATACTCGAGGATAAAATACATACTTTGGCTCACGGACACTACTCCATAGAGTGAGTTAAAAAATAATTATATATTTTAATTTATCACACTTTTAATATTATTAAATTGTATAGGGAAACCAAAACACTAGAGGAAGCAGAAGCCGATTTAATGCAACTTGCAGAAGCCGAGCTAAACAGATAGTTTTTTTGTATCCATAATGAATTGTTTTTATACTGTAAAATATCACTGTAGATATTATTTTTTTTTATTCTGTAAAATACCATGTAGATACTATTTTTTTTTTTTTGTAAAGTATCTCTATGGATATTATATTTATTATTATTGCAAATAGTTAGTATAGGGTAGTATAAAGAAATAACCCACTGGTATAAAAAAATAAATATAATGTTTATTTTTACATATTATTTACAAACCATTTTCTTAGGCTAAATACTTTATAAAATGAACATTGTTTAGGATTGAAATTCATATGAAAAATACAACATGGTAAAGTTTTTTCATCACATATTTGGTCTAGTGGAGGGCATCCCATGTCTTCAATATTGATGATTCCGATGTGAGGAATATACTCTAAAAGAAGTTGTTTTTTCCGATCGCCTTTAACGTATATGAAGCTAAACTTTAACGAATTCAGCACTCTGCCTAGTTCTTCATACTCAACATCGCCATATTCCAGAGATAGTTTATGATAATTACGTTCCAACCACTTGTTAGTCTTACGACTCTTGTTATCCTGTATTGATTTTGAATTTTTAAAAATCCAATGTTGGGTAGCCCATGTTTCTACATCTACTACAGACATTTCTTTTATCATGTATTTATTGTCCCTCCCAAGAATGCAATGAAAATCAATGATACCAGTAGACATTATTGCTTGGATGATGATGATGATGATACTTTGTAACACAATATCTCGTTTTTCAAACTGTTGTCCAACTATGACCAATGATACTTCACTTGTTGTTGGTGCATTATAACGTCCTCTGTGAGCATTATCAGGTTTTCTATCAGAGTGTATTATAATTTCAAAGTTTTTACTATTTTGAGGTACTCTTTCGAGTGTGGTTTTCAAGTCCTTTATGTATGGGTTATTATGGTGCAACATCGCTTGTAATTGTTTTACCAGGCTTTGCTTTACATCAGCGAAGTGGCTACATCTTAAGCGTGTTTCTCTCTCATCATCTCCAACGAAATAAATCTGTAGAAATTGAGGGTTTTGTTGAGGTAAAGCTTGCAAACTACCAATTAAATGATACACCTGACCTTTCACTTTGAATGTGGGCATAAATCCATCTTCGATAATTTGTTTCGCTCCAAAAGATGTCATTTGGAAGCAGTTATTGTATTTTCTAATACGGTCCATGAAATTTTTGTGATCAGGATGGAACCCCATAATCAAACTGTAAAGAGGTTCAGGAAGAGGTAAAAAAGACGGAAGTTGTACTTTACCGGCACTACAACATATTCCAGGCGCCTCTTCTTTGAATTTAAGAGCATCGCAGTATACGCATTTATGACTCATAGTACCCAAAGATACAGTTTCATCCGTCTCATAAGCTATTTCCGATTCATATTTCATGCCGGAAAAAGCTTTTATTTTCCATGGAAGGATTCGCCTCTCTGATCGTCCTCCTGGATTATTTTGTTCATATCTATGAACTTGCACTCTATTTACTTCTGGATTTTTTTTTTTATACTTGGCTGCTGCTACTTTATGAACTTCTTTATTTTTGAGCTGATATTTAGTAGCAGATTGTATAAGCTGTTTTTTTCTGATATTATTTGTAAATCTCTTCCGTCGTTTTTTAGTATGCTTCTGAGAGCTGGGTATGTTATCAAACTCATCAGATACAGAGTTAGTCAATTCATCTTCATATTGTAAATAAACATCAAAATGCCCATTAGATAGGTTTTGCATAGAACTAAAACGAAATCTCTTTACGAGGTTCCTTTCTGAACCAAATTTTTCATACAGTTCACCATTGAGGTACACCTCAATAAATACCAAAAATAATTGTCCGGCTGCCACCAGCTCACATAAACCTCCATAAGTATTAAATTTTAACATATCACTAAAGTAGTCAGCAGAACTACGATAATTATTTCCATCACTATCATGTGACATTATTGAATAATCTTCCCAATTATTTATCACATGGGTTACTATCTTTTTACGTACTTCTTGGGCCTTATCTTGAGTGTCATATAACACAAAAGATATTGCCCTAAACAGGCAAGCTCCGTCACCAATAATTGGAATGATAGTGTGGGACTTCATTATGCCATTTATGTTCAATAATTCGACAACCATATTAATTATTTTTTATTAATTTGTAAGTATGTAATTTTATTTTAATACACTTCAATGTTTATAAAAAACCGTACATAAACAAAAAAAAACAAACATGCCCGATTAACCATAGATTATACTGTATTAGCCAGTACATCGAGCTGATGTATTAATTGCCATAGAGATGTCTAAATTGTTATTATCATATCAATATAAATTATTTTTATTTTTAATTCACTCATTTTAATACCAATATTGTATATTTAAATTAAATATTGCTTGATAGATGGCGCCACTATCATATTCTTTCAACCCCCACTTTTACCCCCTTGTAGGTCGAATTTTCAAAAATCCTTTCTTAGTGCGCCCTTACATTGCTTAAGGAACCTCTGTACAAAATTTCAAGTCTCTAGACCCAGCAGTTCCGGCTAGGCGATGATGAATCACCCAGGACAAGTCTTTTTATATATACAGATGAATGACGGTGTGTAGATTAGACCTATGGGAAGAAGATACGCTAATTTTAAAAGGGTTAAATTTGGTTTTTTTTATTCATCGGATTTTAGTACGGTTAGGTTAGGTTAGGATTTATAGGTAGGTGGAATTAAGTAAAAATGTCAAACTTGGTATAACTTTGGTACTTTTTGAGTTAAATCATACACTTACGTACAAACAGCACGGGGTCCGCGATCTACAGCAGGTAAATTACCTATCTGATAATGTACTGCTGCAATTCAGAATTTTTATTCCGGGCAACAGAAAAGTTAAGATAAATCTAGAACATCATACACCGAATATTAAATAACGCATTGAACAATGTTTGTGTCATATAGAGTTGGTACATTTAACGGGAAACGAAGTGCACGGGATCAGCTAGTTTTATATATATAAGATATAAATCTAATTTTTATATATAAATTCGTTTCATATCATTCTGATTTCAAATAAACGAATTTATTTTTGCTTTTTTTTGTGTAAATACTTTTTTTGCTTTATTATTGCTTTTTTCAGTTTTTCTATCTGTGGAATTTTTATATTATGTTTCTTATGCCATAATTATAAAAAAAAATGTTTATTTAATTAATAAGAAATGCGAAAACCAGCAATAATAATTTATAATATAGATATAGATATTCAATTTTATCCATCGCAGGACCGCAACCATATCGTTAGTGTGAAACGACCTTAAACGTGTAGATGATTATCGAACTACAGACAGTTTACGGGTCGATAGCTTATCGGATATTACATATAGCCTACAGAACCTACGCTCAGTACTCGTGGTAGTAAATTGTTTTTTTTTTTAAATTAAATTAAATTAAATTTTTTTTTTATTCAGTTTTATAAAATTATTAATTTTTAGTCATGTTTCATTTTTGCTTTTTTACAATAATTTTTCGCTTTTTTTGTTATTTATTATGCTTCAAAATCCGATACCTAAATTAATATTCTTAATACGTAAACAAGATAATTTAAAATTATTTTAACATTTTTCAAGACATAGGTACTTACTATTAAATTTGCTCGCTTAACATATGTCGTGGTTCTTATTCCGTTTTTTATAATACTCTCAACGAACTCCAACAATATATTTAATATACAACAAAATATTAAATACAAACTTTGAACTTTGTATGTGTCTTTATGGATCGTTTGTTTTATAACGCACTTCCTGCGGCTGTATTTCACACCACTCTTCTACTGAAAAATTTATTACAAATTTTTTCGAAGGCATATCCGAATTCTCATCACTGTTGCTATTACTACTACTGTAATAATCGATGCAAAATTTACAAAATCATCTTAGAAAAAATCAACTATTCAATACAAAAATACTTCAAACTATTACCATCTTCAGTAGTTGTTAACTGGTTTTGAAATGGTGTACAAGTAGTAGCATTTGGAACGTTAAGCAAACCAAGCATTTCCCAAATTCCATGCCTACCTTCGTACACGAATAAATGTATTGCTTTAACTGTCATACGAGAAGATAATAATTCTCTAATGTCATTCCAAACAGAGTTAGTAGCTTCTACAATTCCTAATAGTTTTGGAATAATAAATACATTATGTTAAATGCAACATCTTGTATACAGTAATAAACATACATCTATTATAATAACAATTAGGACTCCGATCTATATTCCCTGAAAATATCAAAATAATGCCCTCCCAGAAAATGCATTTTGAACTAAAATCACTAAAATATGCTTAAAAATGAATTTAAACATAAATTTGCATTAAATTTTTATATTTTTTTTAAACTAGAAAAATTGTGTATTATGAAAATAAATATTAAAATTCACCAAAAAAAAAATTTATATATATATTTTGGAGATGGCCAAGTAGATACTTCTATGCTGTACTGTAGGTGATTGAATTACTGTAATGAAAGGTATTAAATTTGAATTCAATGATTTAATATCATTGTATACGAAAAACGATTTTGAGCAAAGACGAATTGTCAGCCTTGGGTGTGATTAAGTTCTTGTTAGATATGCTTAAGTAAAAATTTTGAAAAAGTCATGAAGTTGTATAATTATAATATATGTAGGTACTATAGAAGTGCAAAAAATAATTTTTAGATATCTAATTTAGTCCAAATTTGAAAATAAATCAATAAAATGATGTGTGTTTTTAACAAAATTCAAAGTTCAAATTTTTATGAAATACGTCGACATTGCGAAAATTTACAAGTAATTTTATAGTTGAAAATTTATAAAAATGTTGGTATGTATATTTAAGGTAAAAAAATCAACACTAAATTGTCCATAAGTTTTCCTTCAAATCTTCAAATAACTATAGATAAAACTCGACGTCTCATTATAGAAACAATGTTTTGAGTGTTTGAATTTTAAGTTTTTACGAAATCGCGTAACGATAACAATATTATGTGTTCTCAAACGATTTTCAATATATTTTGTTTATTATTCAAAAATTCGTAGATACTTGAAAATTTCACCAGTTCCTTAGATTGGCTTTTTCTTTTAATTTTCAAAATATTTCGCTTATTTTAAGGCTTTTTATAGACATTTGAAAAATTCATTTTATAAATATTTAAATGTTTAAATATTTCGTTTTTTTTTTTTTTTATAGACATCGATAAAATTTTTTTGGTTGAGTTAAAATACTTGAAAATTTAATAAAAAGTTCTTCTTAAGTTAGTCTTATAGTAATTCAAAAATTATAAGAAAACATAGGTAGCTAACTGGGATGATTTTCGGCGGTATATACAAATTTCGAATTACAGAGTATTTTCCCTGCATTATACATTGCTCTATAAATCGCTTATACTCTACTAGTATCTAACACAACGCTAGAGAAAACTGCAAGCATTCTCTAAATTAATAGTTGCCAAAAATTGAACGAGAACAACAATGTATCAGGATCGTTTATTGATGATTATTTTCTGTAAGTCTGATTTTGGATAAACTTTTTTTAAGAGGACGTGATATCCGCATGTGTTGTCTCCGTCTTAAAATTGCGTAACATAGCAAATTCTACTCAAAGCAGAACATGTGTAGCTCCGTTAGTTTAAAAATTAGAGTAAATTTACTTCTTATAAAATCTAAAGTTAAGATTATTATCTAGACAAATTCATGGGATTTTTACTATATTTCAATTTTTAATCGAGCTATGAGAATTTTAAAATTGTAAATTATTTATAGATTTTAAAGTACTCATAACTACATTAAAAATTAAAATATTATAAAAAGCCCATGAGGTTGTCTAGATAATAATCTTACCTTTAGATTTTATAAGAGGTTAATTTACTCTAATTTTTAAAGTAACGGAGCTACACGTGTTTTGCTGAGCGTACAATTTGCTATGTTATGCACTTGTAAGACGGAGACAACACGTATCACGTCCTCTTAATTGAAACACTGAATTTTTGAATCAATAAATACTCAATATGTTTCCATATTTATGTACCAATTAACATATTTTATACTTGTACTAGAGAACCTTTGTTCAAAATATTAATATTAATCGATTTAATGATTTAAAGTCATTAAAAACGTTTCTTAAGTTTATCGAATTTTCAAAGATACCTAATATAATTATAATAAGACTGTTATATACAATTGTACAATTGTATTTAAGTAACAGATTGTTTTTTAAATTGTATTTTTTTGTATCCTTAAGGTGATGAGAACTCGCTCCCCCAGCTCAAGCTTTGCTTTTAGGGGGTGCTGCATTATGTAATATCCTATGGTATTTTATGTCAATCTTTTTTGTATTATTTATGTTCTTCTTGCAATAAAGTTCATAATAATAATAATTATAATTATTATTATTATTATTATTATTATTATTATTATGTTTCTTACTAGTTTTCGTATAAAACTATCTTATGTAATTTTAATAGCAATTACTTTGAAAATATTTAGCAGTATAATAATTAATAATAATTATACTATATAGAATACGATCGAACAAAGTGGAAAAATTGAAAAAATCTGCTCAAAATGTACACATTGCATTTTCGCCATATTTCCTTTTGCATACTTATTATTTATTCAGGTGATAAACAAAATAAACAATAATAGAGTTTATAACGTATAAAGAATTATCGTTGCATGTATGAGATTTTACTGAATATATTTTGTTGTTTATTTCATATAAAA